CCCTAGATTGACGAGGACGGAGTCGCGTCAATTCCTCCGACAGTGGTTGAAGTAGTCAGCGATGGTGCAGAACCTCGTTATGTACGACCTAGGCTGGAAAACTGACGATGACATCATAGGCGGCCTTGCAATCATCGCCGGGGCAGACACGACCTCGAGCGCAATCACGAATCTCGTTTACTTCCTCCTGACCAACCCAAACACCTACAAGCGCCTACAAGAGGAGATCGATACGTTAGGAGACAATGTGATGGACTACGCGAAGCAAGCGCACCTTCCATACCTCACCGCTGCATTGTACATTCCCACAAATCCGAGCTTTCCTATGTATCCACTGATTTATCTTGTGTAGGAATGAGAGCCTCCGTCTCTACCCACCCATCCTCAGCGGAAGCCAGCGGTACACTGAAACTGGAAAAGCCATTGGGCCTTAGTGAGTTCTCTCCGCTTTGACACCCAAGCTTCTTCCTTTTCTGACTATTCCCAACCAGCTATGTTCCTGGAGGTACCAGCACCTTCGTCCCGTTCTTCTGTCTGCACCGTGACCCCAGGTACTTCTCCCCGCACCCCAACGAATTCCTCCCTGAACGCTGGTTGTCCGCCGAACAACAATCCCGTCTCGAACCAGAGATCTTCAAAGACCCCTCTTTAACCATCACGGATCAAACGGCGTTCATACCCTTCTCAGTGGGCCCGTCAAACTGTGTAGGTAAAAATTTGGCATGGATGGAGATGAGGATGTTAGTGTGTTTGTTGATGCAGAGGTATGAGATGAGGTTCGAGGAAGGGTATGATGTTGATAGGTGGGACGAGGATATGTGTGATTATTTTGTGATGATGAAGGGGAGGTTGCCTGTTGTTTTGACACCTAGGAAGTAGATGGGCATCTTGATAATTAGGCACTCGTCTGCCGGTTTTGTGTCTGTAACCATTTATCGAGGTGGTATCTCGCGATACGATGAATTAATTTGAAAGTGGCGTCGAGAAGATGTTCATCGGCTAAGTCTGTGGATGGTGATGTATACCATGAGGTGGACATGAGAAACTTGGTTTCAAATGGCGAATAGTGCCTGAAGCGAGGGGAAAAATTTTTTTGTTGAAAGATCATGATGGTCATGATTGCACCGGGAAGACCATGGGACACAAACAATAGTCTAAAAGTTCGTTAATTTGGAGGGGTAGTTTGACACAAGGATCAGCAGATGGAACTTTGATCATTTTGTGGTGATGTAAGGAGAGTTAATTCCCAGGTATAATGAACCATACTGTAACCTGAACGAGGCACTCTGCCAGTGGTGTCGGTAACCTTTGATTTGTGCGGTATTCACGATGGCAATGCAGTCGAAGTATGATTTTGAATGTGGCGTCGAAAAAAAGTTCAACTAGACTAGTTTCCGCGATATGACCCTCATGGTCCCGCCTCTGGAAAGTTAGAGATCATATTGTAACTTTGAATGAGGGTGCTGATGGTATTGCGGTTTGTAACCCATTGATTTATGCGGTAGCCCCACGATACGATGCAGTCGAAGAACGATTTTACAAGTGACGCCATCCAAGCTGGTCTTCGCGATGGCGAAAATACGACCTGATATGCATTCCACGAGTTGCCAGACACCATGAGAAGCCCACCGAGGCGAAGCGAGTAGCGGCAAGTGGTGAGAATTTTCTGCCTGTTGGAAGATACATATGCAAAAAATGAAACGAACCACTTGAACGGATGGGCATCTTGGCGCCACCGGTGTTTACATATATAGCAAACGTTCATGTTCAAACGTTCAACGATGTGGACGAGGACAGAGAATACATCCTCGCTCAAGCCGTCCGTCGCAACCCAAAAACCGTCGGCGCCTAGGTGAAACTGAATATATCCTGCCGCCTCACGATTATGATGTCAATACTTAATTCGATAGACGCCCAGCCCGAATCAAGACGCCCGCCATACAAACTCGTGCTCGGATATCTTCGAGAAAAAAATTGAGGCCGAAGCGAATAGACAATGTAACGCGTGCGGTGCCGCCGGAAGAAGAGTTTAGGTGGCGATTAATACTCTGATGTGATGCGATGCGATGCGATGTCAAAAACGTGATACTAATGAATTTCAGTGAGGCATTTTCTACTTTCTGGCCGTTATTGCACAATATGCGTCATTGCCGGCGCCACCGGTAGCATGAGAATAATCTCCATTCTCCATGTTAGTGTTTAGACACGTCGGTCGGAAGAAATTTGCTCGGTCCGAGGTGGCTTTCAAAGTTGAGTTGGATTCTGTTGATTCTGTGAGTTTTGTTTTGCTGGAATTTCGCTGGGGAAGGAAGTGAACACGAGTACACGAGAGTTTCTTCGTTCGAATTTTGACTGTCGAGTGCGAGTTTGCGTGCTACTAGCGTCCTAGCGGAAATTGAAAAAAAGTTAATTCGACATTTTATGCTATGCATGGATCGCGTCGATACATACATACTGATACATTCTTCTGAGGCTGTTCTGTCAGTGTTTGCATTATGACGGAATATGCGTCACTGTCCCGGCTCGCCCTCGGCAGTGAGAAAGATCTCCGAGCACGCCCAGATGTTCGGTTCGAGATTGTTTTCAAGGAACGATTTCTGTATTTCCTCGAGCTCCTTTTGTGCTGTGCTGTGTTGTAGAGGAATGAATTGAACGCCAAGCACACGAGATTGTGTCATTCAAAGTTGAATTGGCCCGGCGGAAATCAAAAAAAAAAACAGTTCGGCATATCGGTTACATACATACCATACATACCATACATGTTCACCTTCCCAGCTGTTCTGGTCCAGGCTGGCTGTCCTTATTCGCAGATGCAGATGGAAGTCGAGGCTTTTGATAGATCGTTTCCATATAATGTCTAACGCCCCCGAATCGGAACACGTTGCAGCAGTTTAAATTTATAAACAATGTCGTGTGGATGGACAATGCCAGCTCCAATGAGAAGAAAGTCTAAAGACCCTCATGGATAAATTTCGATGAGTTAGTGCGTATGTATTAGGGATATACGTACCGACACTCTCCGGCGTGCCGAATACAAGTTACGGATACACCTACTAGTGTACTTACTAGTCGAATCACGGCCCGGGTAGTCTAATGTTTTCGTAACAACATCGATATATAGACATGTGATCGTGATTCGTCGCGAAGAACATTGAGCGCTGATTGCAGAGTTATCTGGATTGAATATTGGATGGCTAACATGTATAAGGGTTGGATCGTTGGATCGATCTTGCGGAGGTGCATTCGGTAACTAAACGAGCGCCTTGGTTTGCGGGTTCGCGGACCTCAGGTGGGCTAGCTCACCCACTTAACGACCCGGGGATAACCTTAATCATGCGCTTGTGTGGTCAGGAGGGAATGGAGTTCCGTGGATTATCAGATCAGTGCAGATGACTAATGAGTTACAATGACGCATCGCATGACGGATGCGGTGCAGGACAGAAAACGATCCAGAAAAGGAAGCTGCCATCAATGGCCAATCGGCACAGCTACATATGTATGTATATAAATTATTTATACGTAGGAAGCACGAAGAGATGCATCTTCCTCTTCACCCCCGTATAAGCACTTCAAGTTGGACGACCATTCACGTTGACCGTTGACGAAATGCCACTCGCACGATCACGATCACGATCACAAATACGATTAGACGAAGGATGGCGTGTCTTGCCCTCGAGTTCGCAGATGCAGAAACAGACACGGTCACAGACGAATCTGCCATCCAGCACATACACAGACACAAGATCTACTCCTACGAGCAGCACGCTCCGAGGATCAGACGCGTTTTCCGAGATCAATATTGAAACTAGGTCGGAGAAGGGGGTTTATATCGCGAGACCTCAGCCGACGGTGCGGAAGGAGGAGATTGGGTTCGCGACTTGGAAGACGAGGCGTGTATCATGTAGCAGCAACGAAGCTGCGCATTCGCTCCTGCCCCCACCTTATTCAGAGTCACCGTCGTACTCGCAAGCAGGAAGAGAGAAAGGGATTATTAAGAATGAACTTGACGAGCAAGGACACGAGAACGAAAACGAAAACAAAAAGAACGAACACGAACACGAACCGCGCACGTTACCCATGTACCTCTTTTTCCTCGGATTCCGTACGTCCAGCACATCCCAGCCTCGACTGATACATTCTTAAATCCCTCATGCATAGTCTGTCCGATACTCTGGATCATCGGTACATTTACACTCCGACCGCCCCACACAGACCACGAGCGTCGACCCGGAGGATCCCTAGATCCATCCAGAATATGGAGGCTGCCGCCAGAGGAGAAAGCGGAGGCGGAGAGAGAGGTGGAGAGGCTTATGAGGAGATGGGAGGCGGAGTGGAAGTGGGGGAAGAGGTGTATGTGGGCGACGATTGTGTTTGTCGGGGTTGGGTTGGTCGTTGGTATGGCGATATGGCGGGCAATCGATGCTAGGGGTGGAAGTGGGCCGGGGTAGGATGCATGGAATTATGTATGTAGCGCTGGACGCTGGACTAGAATGACATTAATGAGATTGAATTGTTGCATGTACGATACATACATTATATAAACGCTTCAAATCAGACAAAAATCATCGACGGCTAATCTGGATTATAGATGGGTGTTGACATTGAGCGACATTAAATTCAATCAAAGTCATCGCATAAGAGCAATGTTCAAGTCCTGAAGGCAGCTGATCAATGTCTGCATAGACAGACAAGAGATAGTATTGGGAAAGGAGCACAAGTCTGAGAGAGGGAGGCGAATAGAGGGGCGGGTGTATTCCTGGTAAGAACCTGATACACTTCATATAGGGTTGGACGAATATGAAGCTTGACAACTGAGGAAACAATTTAATTGTATGGTCAGAAAATTAGTAACCCCGATCGCGAAATTAGAACCTCGACGCGTCTTCCAAAAGAGGTATATGTGCATGTGCAATGATTGGGTTTGTGGGAATCGTTAGACTTGGGTTTGGTACGACCGGTTGATAGGATGGTACAAAAAGACAGCCCGAGAGAATGAGAAGTGGGGGCACCGCGGATTGAACGCGGGACCTTCAGAATAAATCGACTTCAAACAAAGAAAGTAATACACTTCAGTCTGCTGCTCTCCCAACTGAGCTATGCCCCCAATCATAGAGATAACATGAGTAATACTATCTAAATGTGCACAATTTAAAACTTAATCTCATTGGAACTCAAAGCGACGATCACGTCTGAACCTAGACAGGAAATACGAGAGGAATCATACACTTCCATCTCAACAATCCCTTCTAGGTCAGTGGGAATGAAGGAAGTGGAGGTGAATGGCAGAGAAGTGTGGATAGAGGAAGATCACATGCTGAAGAATGCCCAGAACATGAAGAGTACATTCCAGAGTGAATGATGGTTGACCTCCAGTATAGATGTGATAGATACCAAAACTATTAGCTTCTGTACAATGAGTGAGCAGGTCTAGAGATGGGCTATGAATAGTTTTCTTGAGATGAGGCTTGAGTGAAAGATCATGGACAGGAGGTAATGGTGGTAGCATCAGATTAATTTGTGGGCTCATCTCATTGTTAGAGAGAACCCCTGAAAACCTCTGGAAAGATAAGCTAACTCTGGTGATTCCACTTAGAGTAGCACTGAAACTGGGCCTACCTTTTTGAGAAGGTTCCAGCCATCAATGAGGGACCAGATTTGCCAGTGCAGGTTACTGTTAAAAGTTACCTTCAAAGAGCAAAGAGGGAGTTGGATAGAGCTAGGGCTACAGTGCCTTTCAATACAAGAAGGACTGTTGGACATGTCTTCAGAATTGAGAGAAGATGATACAAAAGTTGACTCTAAAATCAGGGACTAAATCTAGGGATTCTAAGATCCAAAAAGCAGCAGTTCAAAACCAGTCTGCCATAGCAAAAGGACAGTTTGGATTGCCTACTGGGGTGGTAGTGTATCAGGATTGTGTAGCTACTTACTTAGAAAATATCCCTCCAGGAAAAAAGCCAGGAATGGTGTATGTGGCTAGAAATTTGCAGATCTTGAGATTTTTGAACCTCACTGTCAATCAGAAGTGGCAAGTGGAGACAATTCTGAATAGTGGTTCTCAAGTAGTCTGTATGGCACTAAATGAGGCACTAGGGATGGGAGTCATGACCCATTGCTGCTGGGTTGAGCAGCTGGCAAGCATTGCTTAGATGTGAAGTGGGTATTAGTAGGGACAGCATGTTAATGGCAGATAGTATGGGAGCTTATGTGAGGGCTGTATGAACTTTGAAAGGCTCAAACCAGAGTAAAGTGGCTTTGGGGCATGACTGGCAGGCTTGAAAAGGCTTTGGGCCAGAGTACCTTAGATAGTGTCTGTAAATCACACCTGTACATATTGTGGGGACTGACATATGGCTAAGCCACAACTGGTCCTCTAAAAATAAATGGAGATCATCATCATCATCATGCTTAAGATTGACTTAAGATTTAGATATATATTTGAGGATGGAGAGTGCCAATAGTCAAATAAATGAATTAGTTGAAATGTTCCATTTACTTTTGCTAAAGGCTTCACCATTTATCTTCAAATGCATATCTTTGTCAGACCAGCTTATACTGTCCTGCTGGGGTCATCCTTCTAGCACACTGACAGAAAGCAACATACAAAATCTTCAAGATGGCAGTGCCATAATAACTATCAGGAATCCTAATACTGATTATCAGACAGCCCTGCCCACTCTTTAAAGAGGGAAGATGCCAAGGGTAGGTGTTGGGGGAGATGGTGATCCAAAATTCTAAATCTTGATGAACTGGTCAGTTACCAGGGAGAGGTGGCAGTAATGAAATGGAGAAGTAGTTGTGACTGGATACACTATAAATAATAGTGGATCCACAACTAAGAGTGGAGGGATGTGTATCTACAGGCCTTTGCTGCAGAGAGAGAGGTTGGAGAAAGACATGAGAAGACATTAGCAGCCTATCTCAATGGGCAGCTATGTCAGATAACCAGAGATTTTGGAGAAAATCTTAGTACAGCAGGAAATCCTAGAGTTAGGAGCAGGTGTGGGGGAAACTGCACAAGTATTTTCTAAACAATACAAACCTGTTGCTAGAAAGATGTTATTCTAGAAAATCCAGGTATCAGGAGGTTTGTATAGGATGATGATGATGATGATGATGATGATGATGATGATGATGATGATGATGATGATGATGATGATGCATTTTATTTACTTAAAGACCTATTTTACATGTGAACAATAGTGTCCTAGGTCCTGCAGTTATGAAGGGGGGTGGTAATTATGAACACATCCAATAAGTACTCTGGCCAAACACCTTTTCAAGTGTGCCAGTTATGCCTCATAGCCATTTTACTACAATTTGATCCTGTTGGAGTTCATACTACTTCCCACTATAAACTCCCCTCCTCATCTGCCATCAATGTGCCTTCCCAATATCTAAACTCAGCTACACTTGGCAAGGCTTAGTTTGGATTGATTGGTGTAAGGCTGGAACCCAATTGGCTCAGCTCATGCCTTCCTCTAGTCAACCCTCAACCAAGGGCAGTCATGACTACACCCCTCCCCATGCTCAGACATTATTTTCAGAGTACAAAATCCAGTAAGTTGGCAATTAATCAGCTCAGCCAGGCTAATTAGCTCCTCAAATGGAGACCAAGTCTGAATTGACAGGCCACACAGTACCTCAGCAGCCATTCTATACTATATTTACATGTTATTTTCATGCCTACCCATGCCATGACATGCTTGGTCAGCAAGTTTCCTTCCCACCCAAATCCATCACACTGAGGAACCCTCTCTTTTTTTGATTGGACATGAGCATAGTGGTCACCAAACCTCATTGTGTCACAATGTTAATTGGTATGTTCCAAAGTGGCCTGCACAACAAAGCCTCCCTAGTCAAACACATGTGAGCAGTGGCTTTCTGGCAGTGTTGAATAAGCCAGGTGTGGTGTCTAAAGTGTTTTCCACCAAAGGCCACAGTGCATACCATGTCCATTTCAGCCAAGAGTCAAACCCTCAACCTCTAGGTTAGGTGCTTGCCACTCAGAGTCATGTGATCCCTACAGGACACAATGGTGCCAGCTGAGCCACCATACCCTGGTTTGTATAGGAACATCTGCAGAATGTAGACTGAGTGATACAAAGGTTTAAATATGCTGGAGGAACTTTCTCTGGGAAGAAGGCAGTAGTCTGTGCAGATGAAATCATAGTGGTTGGACACAGGCGTTCCTATGAGGGACAGAAACCCAAGACCAAGGGCTTGGCCATTATTATGGGATGGGGTGATTGCCATGATAAGTCAGATGTCAGAGCTTTCCTAGGTACTTATGGTATCTTTAGGATATTTGTTAAATACTATGCCAAAGTGGCTGCACCTATCAACAAGTTGACTCAGATCCACACTCCCTTTGTTTGGGGAGAGCAACAGCAATCAGCAATGGCCCAGTTGAAGAACTTGCTAGCAGCAAGTGCACCTCTAAAGCCACTTGACTATGAGTCAGGAGAGGCAGTAGTCCTGTCAGTTGACACTTCTTGGATGGCAGTAGGCTTTGGAATATTCTAGGAAGCTCCAAACAATCCTAAGTAATACACCTGTGCTAAGCTAGGATCCATCACTTTGAATGAGAGAGAGGCAAGGTTCTTACAACCTAAGAGAGAACTCTATGGTTTGATGCAAGCCTTACAAGCCAATATATATATATTGGTGAGTTGGATGTAGGAAGCTTGTGGTAGAGACAGATGCCATATATTTGAAGGGAATGCTGAGCAATCCTGGAGTATGACCTAATGTTACTATCATAAGATGAATTGAGGATGTACTACTCTATCATTTTACTTTGAAGCATGTGCCAGGAAAAACCTTCAGTGTTGATCTGTCCAGAATATGCAAGCAGTCAGGAGAAGGGGAGTACCCACCTGTTAACTCAGAGTTGGTGGTGAACCAAAGGCTATGCACTTTGAATATCCAGTGGAAGTCAATAACAAGCCAGGTTGAGAAGATTGGGAATGCCTCACACTTGAGGAATTTACAGATCAAATTGATACTAGAGGTGGCCATCTGCATACAGTAGCTACTGAAGTGTATACCTTTGAACAGGAATTTAATAGGGCAAGGTTCCAAGAAGTGGAACTTAGGAAGGCAGTTTCAAGCCAGTAGCAGACACTCAAGATGGATCCTGTTGCAGTACTAGCTCTTTCTCAGCTTCTGTCACCAGCAGAAGATACTGAGGAGAATAAAGAAGCAGACTTACCAGCCTACCTAGAGCATAGGAAAGGTGGTGAGAGTGAACAATGGGATGACTTGATACCAAATTTACAGAGTTAGTTACAAGACCCAAGTAAAGAACCTGAGAGTTTGCAAGGTTGAGAACCAGACAAGTTCAAGAGGTTTGCAAAACAGCTCTTCTTTGATATAAAGGAGAGGCTTTAACAGCACAATCATGAGGCCAGGCATAAGCTAGTAGTCAATATCAATAGACAAATGTTCATGCTTAAATTAGTCCATGATGCCTTGGGGCATAGAGGAATTTATACAACCAAAATTTTAATACAAGAACAATTTTGGTGGCCAGGAATTGATGGAGATGTTTAGTAGTATGTTGGGACTTATCATAACTGTCAGATATGTCAAAAGACAGTTGTAAACAGAGCCCAACTTTGACATGTACATCTTCTATCTTCCAAATGATCCACATTGAGACCATACACATGACTCCAGCTTCAGATGGCTGCAAATACATTGCCCATGGCAGATGTGCATTGTCTTTTTGGAAGGACGGGCAGCCCTTGTGCAAGGAGAATCATAGAACCATTAGTCAATGGTTGTTTGAAGATGTGATCTACTACTCAGGTTACATTTCTGAAATCATCACTGACAATGCTGGTTAATTCAGGAAAGTCACAGCTTGGTTAGAAAGTAAGTATGGAATTAGAGTAGAGGCATTACCATCCATATGACTTATCAGTCAACAGCAGAATTGAATGGCTACATTGGGACATTAGACAAGCCTTATTCAAAACTTGCAAGGATTGCACTGAATGGTTCTGTTTCTTCTTCCACAGTATGTGGAGTGATTGCATTACCATCTGACAGAGATTTGGATGTTTACCATACTTTATGGTCTCTAGAGCTCATCCAACT